GGGGGAATAAATCATCTCGGAGCGCGGCGGTGTCGCGCACGGCCCCGCGTCTGGCAGCCGGGAGCCCTGCGGAGCCAGGGGCCTGGGCTGGGCACAGGGGCTGCGGGATGAGCAAGGTACTCCTGGTGTAAACCAGGGGCGGACGTCGTTACTCCCGTGGTGGGAACGACGTGTGGTCTGAGCCGAGGAGGGTCTCTGCAGAAGGCTGGGTGAAATGGCTGGGTCTCTCAGCCGAGTGAGCAGACGCGGGGTTTGGGCGCCTTCATTTGCTTGCGTAGCTGGGCTTCCGCGGCTGAAAGGGAGATGATTTATCTGTCAGTTGTGGTGTCTTGCTCTGTTGCAAGAAAGCTGTCTAGATGGCCAGAAAGACGACAAGACGGATCCCTGCGTGGAGCTGCATACAGATCCGATTGTGCTTACGCAGAAGTGGAGTCTTAAAGTGCGCTTAAAAGAACGGTAGCCCTGGACATCCCTATTGTCATCATCACCATTATTTGTTACTCATTTACCATCCCGCCGTAAAACTGCAGGAGTACACCACTGGCGACAGGGACGCAGCTCTTGACCCGAGGTGCTAAATAAGCCAGTACGCAAAGTGCTTCAAAAGGTCATTTCAGAGTGTAAGAAGGCAAGCGCCTGAGGAATGGAGGAGTGTTGCTGGAAGGGTGCTGAGCTGAAGGCCAAGGCTGCGGCGTCTGGCTGCGTGTTTCAGGCTACTGGTCAACTGCGAGATTGATTTAGTCGGGGGGAAAAAAAATTCCTCAAAACCGCAAAGCCCATCCTCCTCTGGTGCCTCAAACAGACCCTGGGGTAGCAGCCCAAGAATGTGTTTCTGCGAGGGACCGTGGGCACGGGAGGAGCAGCTCCCAGGACGATATGGGAACCGCGGCAGGATGCACCTCCTCTTTGGGATGGCGATCACGTTTGCAGTGAGCGGTAATGGGTTGGGGGCAGACACGACTTTGGATCGTTGCTGTGCTGCAGTCAGGAGTATTGGAATCTTGGCTCTTGCTTGATGAGGCACTTTATTTTATTAAAGTTTCCCTTTTAATCAGAGATATGGCCATTTCCCGTCTCTAAAATGGAATCTGGCTCTGGGGGTCATGTCTGGATAATAAAGGGACTGGTTCTCTTGTCTCAAGGGAGCTGATATCGAATTTATTACCATCAAGGGAAAGCAGAATTATACTTGTAAAATGTTGCATAATAAATTTAGCCTTCTTAGTAAATCAAATCAGCGGATACCCTTATCTGCAAGAGATGCGTCATTGCTACGTGAGCTTCTTTGACTAGACAGAACTAATGGGGAGAAAATGGACCTTCAAATGTGGTCAAAGCTGATGGACCCATGGTAAATTAAAGCTAAAAAAAAAAATATCTCCCAGGTGTTTGGCTTAGAAACTCGTAATTGTATTTGGGAAGGGACTTCAGGGTGAGAAGAGACGACTTTTAAAATTTTGTACTTTTATCTCAAAGCCCAGAAGATGTGACACTTGTTTGGTTTGAGTGGAGGAATGCGGAGGAGGTGATGTACTTCATTCGTCTTCCAGTGCAGAACATGGCGGTTTTGGAAAGCCACTGTTAATGTCAAGGAGACGGAGAAGGTTTTAGGTCTGTATAGAGAACAGAGTTGATTGCACCAGGACTTCTTACCACTTTCTTTGTTCTAGAGGCTGTGTATGAAGGAAAATGCAGCTCATGCTGACCGTTTTGCCATAGAGAGGAATTTCTTCCCGAGTCCAGAAAAAGCCCAGGGCCCAGCAAGGGAAATTACATTTGGGATCTTCAAGATTTCAGAAGCAACAGAAAATGTATAACACACATATGAGCATATAAACCTACACGTCTGATGATGACACCACTTCAAGTTGAACACGAGGCGAAAGTGGGGTTTAGTATGACCAGCTGGTCACACGTCCAACACTTGCTTTAGCTGAAAAAGAAAGACCTACCTACGTTGGGAATTTTGGACAAATGAGAAAGGTTTCTCTCCAAACATCAAAATAAATATCCGAGTAGTTAAACGTGAAAAATTACTTGGGTACAGCCTGCGCTACTGAATTGATAGTCCTTGCTCTTTGGAATGACAGTTGCTTTTGATGCTGTATCAGGGTGATTTTACAGAGAGAGAGAGAGAGAGAAGCAGCGACTGCTGTGATGCACTCTGCTGTCAGGAATGGGCTTCAGTTAATCGTGCGTCCTTAGGAGTCTTTCTTCCACAGGCGAAAAACTTTTTGATATGACGAGTCCAAACACAATGAGTCAGAGAGTTAGAGTTCCTCATGTCTGCAAAATATTAATTTTGTTAATAGCCTGAGTACTTAATGTCCTCTTAAGGGTATGGCAATACTTTTTAGCACTTATAGCTTAACTAATTATGCGTTTCTTTTTTAATTTTAATTTCTGATTAGAAGACTAATCTGACCCTGCCGACTAGGAGAGGCTCACCTAGTATGTTACCATTTTTGGAAGCGTGGTGGAGGAAAAGGGAGGAGACAGAAGGTAAAGTCCGTTTTCAACAAGTTAATTTCAGAAGCATTTTTGTGCACATAAAGGTGGGGCTGTCAAACAGAAACCAGTAAATTATTTCCATGAGTGGAATTATTGGGAAAACATTGCCTATTTTGCCTTAGTGGTTGGTATATTCCTGTACGTCAGTGGTAGCTGAGCCTCCTGCCCTTCCTGCTGGGCACCAAAATCTTTGTTCCCAAGGCAGACGGACACACAGGTGCCGGCAGAGGAACACAGAGGCACACGTAGGAACTTCAGAGAGTGAGGAAAGAGAGAGTCCTGGCAAGGGCTGGCAAATCCCACGGCTGGTGGTGCCACGTGGTGGCACCAGGGCGGGGAAGCCAGGCAGGGCTGGGCGCCCTGGTCCTGCTTTGGGTTCCTGCAGGACAGGTCTGGTGGGCAGTACTGGCTGGAAGAGCCTTTGTGCCTTCAGCCAAGGGGGCTTCTGGTGTGAGCAGGAATAGCCACCAGGCATGGCCTTCTGGGGAGACCGCGTCTGTTGTAGTTCGCTGTCGAGACTTCTTAACACTGGAACGGGTTGCCCAGAGAGGTGGTAGATGCCCCGTCTCTAGAAACATTCAAGGTCAACCTGGACGGGGCTCTGAGCAACCTGATCCAGTTGAAGATGTTTCTGCTCACTGCAGGGGGGTTGGGCTAGATGACCTCTAAAGATCCCTTCCGACCCAAAGCGTTCTGTGATTCTACGGTTCATGCATGATACGTGTGTGATGAGGGATGGGGACTGTACATGCAAGTGTGCCTGTCCATTTCTGTAAAAGCTGTGTTCAATAAGCAAAACTGCTCTTTGAAAATGGTTGTCATAATTCTTTTATTTATTGAGGAATGGTAAATAATATATTTTTTTTTTT